GTGATGACCCATCCTATCATCAACAAGAAGGTGACTCTATTAATAGGTACTAGTGAAGTGGTATATCGATAGTGAAATGAGTTGTTGTTGTTGTAGGTGTTGTAATAATGAAGTTGGACCTTTATCACGCAAGCATCCCATAGTTTTAGTGGGTGATTTCAACTGTAATGCCCGAACTAATCCACATAATGGTGTAGATGATTCTGATGAGTAAGTATCGTCTTACAAGAAGGAGGAGTACTACTACTAGTACTACCGTAACAGGTTCAAATTAATAATCTCCAAGTTACGACAGATTGGTGTAACACATGATGTCCTGTTTGAGGAGCTCGGAGAGCATCCTGTTACCTACGCCTCAGCTGACTTTGATGTTACAACTCGATCATCAGCAGGAGCGTTGGAGTACACTGGTACTAAGAGTAGGAGAAGGAATCGAGGAATGTTGGTGCATCCTCTTAGGTGCATTCGTACCATCAGAAACAGCATTGACTGATCCTATTGATTGGACTGGACATGGGGAACAGACTAATCAATCACTTGATTATATATTCTATTTCCCCTCAGCCACCACCAACATCGTCGGTAAGTGAGGTAAAGTATTATTGGGAGTATATTATCATTGTATTGGCAGATAATAAGGCAACACCATCAGTGAGTGTGAAATCAGCTAAAGTGAATAGCTTTCATTTAACACAGCGTAGAGGAGAAAGGTTGTATGCCCTCTCTCAAGCAACTAATGATCCACTACAGGTGAGTAACCTCGTGTGATGCTGCTTCGTGTATTGTATTACATGACAACAACATTTCAACAATTGACTATATACGGGTATATATTATTCTCCAGGAGAGTAGTGCTCATTATTCATACATGCTCTTCATTAGGAGTTTGGATTCACCCAGTTATCGGATCATTATGGTGTAGAAGTGGAGCTCTCACTAACCCCAGAGGAAAGAGATAAAAGCATCAATCCATTGACACTTGTGGAGTAATGATAGGCATAGAGCTGATGT